CTTTTTTTTTGGTAGTCCAGCAGAGGTGAGGGCCTGTGAAATGAGCTTATCTGACCCTTGATAAGAACAGGATACCCCCAGGAATGGCCTAAATTCAATACATACGGCTTGCCCTGGGACGCATTTGTTTGGAAAGGAGATTTACTGGAGAAACAAATGGTCTTATGTAGAAGACCATGGAATATCAGTAGGCGAGTCGAATGTTTGCTTTATGTTCCTGTAATCCCCAAAAAAGTTAACTAGAGAATGATTCCAAGCAGTAACCTCAGCTCCTAAATCATTTAGTCAGGTCTTCTGCCACACAGGAAGCTGTCTTATTACTTCTGGAAGCAGCACAAAGATTTACTGAGCTCATGTTTGATGACAGCACACAACAAAGGAGCCATGCTTGTGTGAGCGAGTGCGCGCGCGAGCGTGCTCGCGTGCCAAATCGTGTCGGTTTAAACCTGAGCTGTTTGCATGCAAAAACAAATCACTTTCGCATTCTCTTAATGTCTGGATCCAAACAGGACGCGTCACGTCTTGTTCCCTTTATTTGGACTCAAACAACCTCTTAGTCACCGTCTGCTGCATCGGATACAGTTTCCTTCCCTACATCAGTCGTCATGTCGATTTAATTGCCAAATTGATTTGTTGTTGACTACTGAACCAGCCCTGAGATGAGCAACAGGGTCCCAAGTGGACAAGCTGGTCTGGTTGGGCTCCAGTCACACCATCAAGTCTAAAGAACAATATCATTGCCAACAGCTGATGTCACCCAGGACACGCTACAGTGGAAAATTGTTGTCTGCCTGAAAATTGAGCTGTTAGCATCTCATGACAGTCAATAGATAGCAACGCCCCTCAGTCATCGCAGGACTCACACCTACCGAAAACCGTTCGTACTCACATGGTCGTGGTCCACAGTGATGATATGAAGATGCTTGGAAGCCAGGAGGGCACGACACAGAAATGTAAGTATGATTAATAAACTGGCTCCATCAGTGAAACTTGATGTTCCCAGATCCTCCTGATCTAATTTGACAGGACTTCAGCGAGAATGGGAAATGTTCAAATCCTGAATAATCGAGTTATACCGAATCTGGTTTTGCTGCCGTTTTGCTGTAATGGCAGCAAAAGGTGGTATCACATAAATTCCCAACCACAAATCATTCTCTAGTGAAAATGTTCCGTAGATATGAACACTTATGCAGGACAATGAAAACTGCTGACTTCGCTTGACCCCTTTGTATATAATATATTGTTATTGAATTGTTCTAAACCAAAAACATATAAAGTGAACATTTCCTAAACTGTATTGATAATACACCTGGAAGCTAAATCTTAAAAACCCAGTGCTACATTAGCCTAAGCAGCCCAGAAAAGGATATGTTTCCACTCTGATTTGAACTTAGCACAATTTAGGAGCTAATTCGTTTTACAAGCTGCTGCCTAACAAACTGCTCTTTGCTTCAGACAGAATTTGCCGAACACCAGCAGAGCCGAGAAATCATCAGCATCGAGCTTCCAGGGTCCGCTTCAGGGCTCTGGTGTTATCAGTCTGAGTTACGTCACATAAATCAAAGTGCCTTCCACTGCCATGACTGCTTCTCCAAACTGCGGCCAGCACATCTGGCTGCAGATGGGAGAAACTGCTTCGGCCTGAGCGGCGCACAAATCACAACTCATGTCCACGCCACAGCCGGCCTTCTGCGAGGACAAGACGCCGACGGGTCGAGGAGCAGAGACGGACTGCACGTCAACCTTGCCTTGTGGCTTCTGTCTGACAGATTCTGTCTTCCCTGTTTAGCTAATAAAAGCGGCGGGTGGCTTATGATTGAGTCAGACTCTCACATAAACACTGAACTCATTTGTGGATGTTCTGCGTAAGCTGAGCTTCACAAGCACGTAGTTATGGTTGACTGGGTTTGCTTTTTTGGCCCTTCTCTGAAGAGAGACACTGGTCTGTAATTGCATGAGACGGTGTGTAGCTGTACCATGTGGTCAAGCTGGAGAGAATGACGATGCCGCTGGACCATTTCGATTTCAAACTCTCATTTGCAGCATTGACTTGTGTCCACACTTGTCACCTTTTCCTTCCCTACAGAATGACACTGGTACTGGCATTAATGTTACCCCTTAAACGCTATAAAATAAAGACAATTAAATCTTGAATATACGTGGGATGCATTCACAAGCACTGTTTCTGCTGCTTAACGGTGAGGCTACTCGTTTTTGTGGACAGGACTTTGAGAAACGGCTCCGTCTTTAAAAATGGGGAGTTTCAAAAGGAACTGATGAGAACATTAAGCCAGACACGGGTTGCCTCCCCGCTTTCACTGCACAAAGGGAGGACGGTTCAGTGTTGCTGATAGTGGCATTAAAACTGCATTTTGCTCCACTCCTCAGAGTGATAGCCAGGTCGGTCACTCCTCGCCCTCCCTGACTTCTCTCCATTCTCACCTGCAGAGATGCCCAAGAAAAACATGAGCCAGCAAGGCCTCGCTGCCACATGTGATGATACCGGCACATACTTCTAGGCACCGTATCTTCTTCCTCTTCAGAGACATCTTAATGGATGCTCATCCGTGTGCTTACACCGTTCTAGTCTTGACTGATTTCAGAGTTAAGAAAAATACCTCCGTGTGTTTTTAGTGTAATGCGATAGAGGTTTCTACTGCTGTGGTACGTCGACGAAATCACTCTGACAGGCAATAAAGTATGAAATCCTGGGTCTACTTTAGACCGTTTCTTACTTGTAATGTTGCAGGTTAGTTTTTACCAAAGGGGTTCATTAAAGGAGGTGTTCAAAAACTCTTGCCACAGTAAATTGACCGTGACCACTAACCTCGCCAAAACCGCACAAACCTAACCTGGAACAAGTTTTCTCCCAGAATTGTCTGTGATTTAGCTCCATCTATCCACTGAATCTGCTAAAGAGTGCATCCCTCCAGTATCATTCAGCATGTGTTAGTGTAGGGATGAAATGTTAATCTGCAGTGTTCATTTCTTGCTGTACACAGTTTGTTTTTGTTTTGGTAACTAGGTTCACTGTCCTCTACATGTTGTGTGTCGATCAATATTTTGCACGCCTTTCCTTCAAGAATAACTTTCATGTAGTCTTTTTCTTCTACTTCACATTCAAACAATAAAATCCCAGAAAAATGTACAAATCAAATTTCAAGGTTTATTCGTGAGTTTTTCCAGACACCTATACCTCTCTGTGATAAGAGAATAGCCTGGGGACAGAATGCCAACAGACTGGAGCCTCGGAGATCTCGTCCATTTCAATCCCACGGTGGTCAGCCGGTCGTCCAGTCTGACCCGCAGCCTTTCTAATTTGGTGATGTGCTGTAAAGTGACCTGCCTGCCCCGGGTTGCAACAGGAGTGGGATTCCAGGGATGGGTGACACCGTAGAAGGCACACACACCCACACACACACACCACCACCCTTGTCACCCTCTCCCGGTCCTCCCTTGGACCCACGGGGAGACCAAGGCATCTGCTCTCAAGGGCACCCCGACATTATCCCTCTGCAGCCATCCAACTTATGGGTAAGGTGAGAAGCCAGGAATAATTGATGATGATGTCAGCAGTGCTGTCTGCTTGGGCAGAGCAGGAGACACTTCCTCACCCTCCTGCAGAGGGCTTACTGTCCTGGCACTTCCATTAGCGCTAATTGGTTTGAAGTCGGCCATTCCGCATTTGCCATTGGGCGCGTATACGTTTTTGATCCAGTGAAATCATTTTTATTCCTCTGCTACTTAGGCCTTTGCTGTTTAGTTTGATTGGTTTTCTTAGTCTCAAACACTCTGCTTGCTTTTCTCTCTCCTGCTCAACCACCTGCACTCTTTATTGTTTAATTTTTTTTGGGGGGGAGAGGCAGGAAGGAGTTCAGAGAGATTGACTGACTCTAATCCAAGTCCACAGAAGAGGTTTAAAGCACTCTAGTTTCAGCTAATCTTCCAGCTCGGGCCTAGCCGGGCATGAAAGTCGCTTTCTCCATGATAGGAATGGACAAATAAAGGTTTTTCCCAGCACTCCTATGAAAGGGGTCTGTGTGCTCTGTGGATTAGAGCCCAGTGTTTTCTGTCTCTGTTTCACAATTAGACTGAAATGGATGATGCCTCAGTCTGTGTTTATTGCAAAAGCCTTTCCCTTGCAAGACTACAAAATCTGATATTTTTGCTACATTGCAAGAGCAGTTATGAAAGTAGATCTTCTTAATGAAAAGTGCTACTTTGATGCATTCGGAATGAGCTAAAACCAACTTTTCCTTATATTCTCCAGGCCAGCATGCCATCAAAAAGCCATCAGCCTTTAGATCTCAGTGGTGCTGATGAACAAAATTTCATATTTGTTTCTGTTTACTTCTTTCCTTTTCCTCAGTCTTCTAAATGCTACGATCACATTTCTCGACAGTAAATAATCTCAAAATGTAATTGGTAAGTATGGCACAACGCGCCTGAAAGGTTTGACCCAGCCTCGAGCCTGTTGGAAAATGCCTCTAACAGATGTGCACATAAAGGCTTGTGTTTTTGACGGTTCTCAAAATGGCTTGAACTCAGTCACATTGGATTGAGAGCATCCGTAATCCTCAATTTTTCTGCTCTTGCCACAGTAAATTTTTCAATAAAATTTTGCTCAGGGTTTTAAGTAGGCCATTAATAAACATTAATATTACTTAGGGGGATGCTAAAGTCTGCAAAAGACTTAAGACTGAGGGATCACCTTTCAGCAGATCAACACAACCAGAGATTCAATATAATAGTAGTTATATTAAAATAGACTCAAGTATAGAGCTAAACCTAACTGAGAATCAGTGACTGTTCATATGAGTCAAAGTATTATTCACGTAAGAGTGGTGAGTGAGAGAGAGAAAAAGAGAGACGCGCGCTTCTGTGTGTGTCTGCTTTTGTGAAAGAGAGAGAGAGAGGAAGAGAGAAGGAGAGTGAGTGAGTTTGTGAGTGACGTTTCTGATCAGGCACTTACATGGGCAGCTCTTTCTAAAGGGAGGGGTCCTCCTTGAATTTCAGTTTCCCTGGCAACTCTGGACAGCACCGCCGTCTTCCAGACATGGTACTTATTTTCTAAACATTTAGTGGCTTGAGTTTCTTCTTTTGCTCTCCAGACCGACAGTGAAAGCAGGCTGACGACAGCCGCCGTGTAGCTATACTGTCTGTAGTGTTTGTAGTTCTTATCGGCGGGTTGTTGCTAGTCTTTAAGCTAAAGTTAGCCAGTTTGCTGCTCAGCTTCCCAGTCTGTCAACCATTAAGAAACTTTTGGTTCGTGGATTTGTGAGCTGGCTCACAAATCAGGTTAATCTTCCGGCTGGAAAATGCCACTGGACGTCATTAGGGGAAGATGACATCCAGCTCCGTTCAAAGAACAAATTAGCATGCGTTCACACTGCAACCAGTGCCCTGCAGACCTGAACATGGTCTTTACAAATAATGCACAATACTGAGCCACTTAAAAAACAGACACATGTCCACGATTACTTAATAATCGTTATTTTAAATCCCAGGTTTTTTTTTTCAGCTTTATGGATGAGACCGACGTGTTCGAGATCTCAATTGGTTTTTCTATTCAGAAATCATTATTTCAGAACATTCTTGCAGAAAAGAAAAATTCCAATGTTGAGAAATATTCTTTTGAATTTTTTTAACAAAGTCGTCATCTGTACAATCAGTCTTATTGATCCATTCAAAATTATTGTAAATTAAGCATTTTTTTTAAAAAAAAAACCTCACTTTTAAAATTGATCTGAGTATCTAGGAACTTTTAGTTAGTAATCAATGGCTTTCTGCTCCCTGTGGTGAAAAGAAAACCGGACACCAACGCTGCTGTTTTTCTTTTAATCCACTCTTTACCACAGTAAGAAGGGAAAATATGTCCAAAAGTTAAGTGTCAGTTCCATCTTGTCTTCACCTGGTATCCATAAGAACCATTGAGGATTATCAATCTGCCAACAGGCTCCTTGTGAGGCCTTTCTGTCCTACCATCATAAATGTAAACATCTGGAGTTTTATGAACATTATGAATACTTTAATTGGAACATAGTGACAAAGTTTGAAATTGTAGGCAGAAAACACAGCTGAAGGTTTTGTTGTGCAGACTGAGGGAAAAGACAACTGCTTAGTGTGGTGGAGGATCTGTGATGCTGTTCTATTTCTGGTCTTCCAAAGGCAACGGGAACATATTAGAGTGTATAAAATCAATTACGGTATTTGAAATACCTGATGATTAAAAAAAAAAATCAAGTATATCATAAGATAAAAAGGACCCAGAGCTGTGTAGGGTTGTTCAAAAAAAGTAAAGCACTCTCATTGAGCGCTGTCCTGTTGCCAAAATGGATTGTTACAAAGTATTAACAGAAAGGGATCCAGTAATTGCACCACTGATGATAACTTTATTGAAAACACTTGTTTCTTGGCATGGACTCTTGTTCACCACTGAATAAATATGCTTAGAATGAAAACATAATGTGTCAACATTTTTCAGCGTTAAATTATTCTGCTCCAATACAAGATGAAGTTGTTTTAAGGCTTTTTATCCAGTTTCAACTGGGGTGTAGTGAGAGTGAACGACTTTGACAGGTGCATTAAATATTCAAAAGGCTGAGCTCTGGAAGATCTCCACTATGTACTAATAGTTAAACTCTGCCAAAAAATAATTGTTCTTAGTTTGGTGTGCACCAACTTGCTCAGACCATCCTAAACATGACTGACAGCAGAACCAGTGAGGGGTGTCATGTCTGACAAGCTGTAACTCCTGTTTTTTTTTTTTTGTTGTTTTTTTTTTCCTGCTCTAAATCTCTAGTTGCATTTATGGATTATAGCACAATAAGCCCATCCTTGTTCTCTTGTGTTAGCTGTATTCACAACCAAATCCACCTCATATTCAGAAGACCCATCCCACCCCAAAAAAAATGCGTGGTGATGTACGATGACACTTGAGCTGTCAACCCTCTTGAGTCCCTTTGTGCTGTAGTGCCCAGGTAGATGACCTCACGGAGGAAATGGCTGATAATGCAAACAGATAAGGCTCCTGGTACCTGTTGACCACAGTCAGAACCTCCTAAATCTGGTCTTCCTGACACGCCGCTCCATCTGCGATTGCCTCAGCGACACCCACAAGGCATTGAGCCCTTATCTGCCCCTGCTTAGCATTCACGCCATTCATGCGAACAATGTTACCGCTTCCCGCTCATTGGATCTGTGACTGACAGTGGGTGTTGGTGCACTTGTGTCTGACTTCAGCCTCTATCTGACACCGGGCTGTTTGTCCAGTCTCGATACCCCCACCAAGACACAATAAAGGGCGTGCCGCTTCCCTTGCTGTTTTTTCCAACTGGACCTCAGTAATGGAGCTTGCTCTCTAGTCGGCACATCGGCTTCCTCCTCAGGGGGACTTGCATTAGACGGGGGAGGGTCAGGACAGAGGGACTGACTGATGGTGAGTTCACCACCTACTGACCAGCCCGCCGGGTAAAAATACCATGATGTTCAGACAGTAAAATGCATGAACGTAACAGATAAGGGTTCTGAATAGATGAGGTACGATGAGTTAACCAAAGATTAGGCCGCGCATTGAGATTGGTCAATGATTTAAAGCCGTGGTGTCCAAACATCTTGTCACTTGTGCCAAAATCAACAAGTCAAAAGAACTTGTAGGCCAAAAAAAAAGGACAAACATTTGGAAAGAATGAAATAATCAAACAATTAAAGTTGTTTGTGTGTTGTTGTTTTTTTGGAGAAAAGGAATGTAATTAATTGTACATCCAAAACTAAAAATGAAAAAAAAAATCTTTTTTTGGGCTTGATTGAACAAATTTATTCTATTATAGGAGAAAGATTTGAATCGCTTTCTTTCAGAATGCCTGCTATATCCCACCAAGTTTTATAAATTACATCAAATCTGACCTGGGTACAGCAACTTTTCAGTAAAAGTCTACATAGACATGGTTCTACTCATAAAAAAAGATTGGCTATAAAAAATAAATACTCTGTTGTATTTGATTTTGGACACCCCTGATTTAAAGTAATATAGATCCAGTCTACTGTTTTTTTTTTCTGATTCAAATTAGGAGTAGCCATTTATCGCATTGTTTCTCACTTATTATGTATTTCTTATAAGAATATTTTATTTATTGTTGTCATGATAAGTTCCAATTAATGCTATTTAAAATTCCCTGAAACCATCAGTGTTGTGGTGGGGATTGTTAGTTTTAGTATTTTCTCCACTTCAATGAGAGTATCAGTACAAATCAGTAAAATGCAATGAAATGCAATTAGTGTGAATAGTTTAGTTATTAAAAAAGACATTCATTTTTGTGACCCACTTCCTAAAGTACCGTGTTACACATGATTGTGTTTTCCAAAAGCAGCATTTGTGTTTGCCACAAATGCTGCGTCACAGTAACAAGTAATAAATAGTTCTTGTCATTTATATTGCTATAATAGTACCACAAAACCCCTAATAAAACTTTTAACTCCATATTGCTTAACCCTAATTCCGATAAATAACTTCTTACTATTGTTTGACTTTATTCATATTTTTGAAAGTTGACTGACCCAACCAGGGATAGGAACCAGAAGAAGTGGAAAGAACGTGTTGCACGAATTCTTCAGAAAATAATATGGAATTGAATCAAATTATGTGGTAGATTTAAGTAGCGTTATGGTTGCTCATTTGTGTAATTTATGAACATATATGAAAATGTGCTGGTGGCACAATGGGTTTAGTACATAGTCGTAAGGTGCCAAGTGGGGCAAAAAACGAGGGATCTGATTGGTTGAATTGAGCTGCTGCTACTTTGTGCTTCATATGGACGTTGAAACGTCCAGTCGCTTTCTCTGGTGTCACTGTGAAATGACTTTGTCTGAGAAATCGTGACAGTTTTGAGACCGTAACGTTTTACCGTCGGCCGAGCCACGCCTAACTGGAACTTCTTCGCCAGGTGTCGGTTTTGGGTTTTCATCGTCCGGCTCATGTCTCATGCTCGACTGGTCCGATATCGGAGCTTGCATCTCCGGATCCTCCGTATTGGCTCCCGTGAAGCGGGCCCATTACAAGGCTCCTATAATACACCCTTGTGGTCGGCATGCCCCTCCCTTCCTGCTCGCTCTTATTTATGAATGGCGCATCTTATTTTTGACAAAGGGGGCAACTCAGGTGGGTAGCTGCTGCTGGGATCACATGATACTCTGTACAGAGCGAGGAATGTGGACAGGCATCCCTCCCGCGCCTCTAAACTTTGATGCAGAATATCATAACGAATACGCCTGACACACGCTGTGATGAAGATGGGGAGAGGGGGGCTTTGCTGCAGTCATGGGGGCACGAGGGGGCACAGATAGTGACTGTTTGATCTGGAGGTCGACAGCCCCCTCGATGGTGTTGAGAGATCCTTGGCGGACGAGGCTGGCTCTTATTTAATAACATGAAGGGGAAGCAGACCTTTCTCTCATAATTAGGCCTAATTACCTGGTAGGTGTGGACAGACAGCCCAAGAAGAGACAAACTGCCTTTATCCACAGTCTTAGAGTCAGATTACCCCCAAGCTGTCTTATCTGTTTGGAGGCCAGCGGGAGCCTTGGTACTCTTCTTCTTGCTGGCTCCTGTATATTAACCAGTCAACCTGATTTATTACAGCCTGCTCTGTGGCATCCGGGTTTAATAATGCATCTTCATTACTCTTCTCTGTAAGTCGGGAGAACCTTTTCCAGGATGTAAACCGGGCGATGCGTAGTTCTGCTGACCAGTTTTCCCTCTGCAAACCGATGGGACGAATCCAGTCGGCTGTTTGTAAAAAGTCCCGTCTTCCTCAGACGAACAGGGAATGCAAAACACGGACACTCACAAGATTGCAACAGAAAGAGTTTGACAAACGTCGGCCGGACTGTTTGCTCGGCCACCTCCGTCTGTTGGCGGGCAAGGCTCTCAGGGTCCATTTGACTGACATCCCGCCGGTGGTTTGTTTGTTTGCAGTATCTGTGTCTCTTTTCTCGAGCCGCCTGCGTGTTTGTGTTTGGGTTTGTGGGCAACCCACTCGCAGCCACAACAACAGGAGCCATTGTTGGAGGCAGTTTCAGGGACTGGAAAAAAAAACAAAAAGAGTGGCAGCTTTCCCAGGAGGAGCTTCTGGGTTTGGGGGATAAAGTGGCAAATGTACCCTTATGCTGCTTTGATTCTACTAGCATCTCTGTAAATATGAGGTATTCCAAGTTATCGCAAGAGATTAGTCTGGTAGTAGATATTCAAGACATCACCCAAGTAAAAGTTTATAAAAAAACTATTGGGTGAAAAAAAAAACACTTAAGTCCAGATTGATTAAACTGGCTGATTTATCTTTATAAATGATGTCATCACAAACATGTAAAATATTGTGGAAATACTGGAACTTCTGAATCATAAAGTAGAAAATAAACAAAGAAATTGATGACATATTTATCAGACAACCAATTCAGGAACAAAAAACATATTTTCCCAAATCTCAACTTTTCATAACGTGAACCTTTCAATAACTGGATAATCTGACCCGTCCAATTTTCTTTTCTTTTCTTTTTTTTTTTTTGGCTTTGATTGGTGATTGGCAGGTTTAATACTAAGAAATTGTATAATTTTTCCTTAATCAATGAATGCATTAAGACTAAGAACATTCATTTTCTAGACATAAATACACCAACCAACATCATGTTCTTTGATTTTATTAAACCTTTTTGAGTTTAATAAAAAATAAAAAATAGAGGGATATGTTTTGCAACATAAATGAAGATCCACAATTTTTCTGTTCTATTCTTTTCAAACATTTTTCTCTGTCAGTGAACCTGCAGCACACTTTTCTTATCCTTGGAATTAAAAATCAAATCATAATTGGTCCAAAAATGAATCGGCAAGTAAAAAAAAATAAAAATAAAAAAATATATTTGACATGAACCTGAAATTGGTGTTGGCTTGGAAAAGCCTGATTGGTTCTTCTGATAATTTGTATATCATCAAATCTCTCTCTTTTAAAAAAAAAAAACTTGCTCCTACAAATCTTTGAAAGTAGCAAAACAAAACAACAAAAACCCCAGAAATACATTGTTATTAGGTTGTGTTGCTAATAGGAGTTAGTTTGGTCACTGAGCAAATCCCAATTTAAATCTGGAAGTTTAACACAGTTACTCTGGGTTCTCAGCTTCTTAATTAAAAGGCTGTTTTTCTGCTTGTTTTAAATGTCTAAACTGTTGAATTTTCTCCCAAGCCTGCCACCGAGGAGCCAGTTCATTTGCTCCTGGCCTGGGAAGTTTTTTTTTTTTTTTTTTTTGACTGACAGCTGGTTATGACACCTGGCTGGAAAGTTTTGCAGCTTTGAGTTTTGAGAGGAGCCAGTTTTCTGTTGTTGTTTCTCTGACTCAGAGTTTCATCAAGCTTGCTGCAAGAGGACAATAAGAGATGCTTAATCCACCTGTTATCAGGATGAGCCTCCTGCTCAGGAATGCAGCCTTACCCTCCTTTCACTGGAGGAACGGCTTAACAGATAACCCCCCCTAACAAAAACTCAATAATTTCATATACAACACCTAAACACAGTTATTGCTTTTCTTTGTAGATGCATATAAATACAAGCTCTGTTCCGATCAGGTTTTTCCTTAGTTTTGGAGTTTTCTTGGAAGCCATGTTACAGTTTCAGGAAATTGCACTTCTTGTCTTTCTAAGATGTTGTTTTAATTCAACCATATCATGTAACAAACATTGACCTTGAAACTACACATGCTGGTTCTTTGATTGAGAAAGTCATTTTGAATCCAGCAGTAAATGAAGGGAATTAAAGAACATCCATTGCATGGCAAAATTAGTCAAAGGTACCTCTGTACCTCTTATATACTGGAAGAATAGTTAGACTTTTCAGTTTTGTTTCATTTAGTGATCAAAAGGAAAAGTTCAGATCTCCTGATCAACAGGGATGTATACAGGCCAGAAAAGTCTGGAATGTAAAATGTTTCCCTGTAGGTTTACTATCCTGATTTTTAAATAAAACAATATCTGGACTTGTGTGCGGCTATGCGTGATGAACGGATTGTCTAACTAGAATTTTGCCTTGAATATTGTGTAGGATTTCTAGATATTTGTAAAACTGTCCAGTTCTGAACACTGACTGATTGATTTCATTGATGAATACGAATATCTCAACCAATCATAATTTTGTGCATGTGTTGGTTTTGGATTTCTAGAATCCTTTTCAAGACTTCAGGGATTCTCGGTCGCCGTAGTTCGGGTATCGTTTGAGCTGTTCGGATGCTAGTCAGATGCTCCCAGTTGTAAAAACATCACAGTGTTGTCACGGTTGCGCATCGTAGCACCTGTCCAAAATGATGAATAAAAATATTTCCTGCTGCCCATCATCCAAAACCAGAGGGAAAAAAAAAATTGTCCAAACGTGCAATGCCTCAGCGGCCCCCCCATAAAATATGAACAAGAGGCGACAAAAAGAACAAATGAGAACTAACGTAAGAGAACCGTTTACCGGTTCTTGTGGTGCTGGCGTACCGACTGTGTCCTTTTGTGACTGCGGTCCTTTGAGCTTAATTAGGCGGGCTTGTCGGAGGTCTCTGTCTCTCTGCTTCACAGGTTGACATGGACAATTTAACAACTAACCTCCTGAAATGAGCTGCTTCTGAATGCCTCAGGCTCCAGTTTCAGTGTCTGCTGATTGCAGGGGGCTACGATGAGTAAAAGTAAACCAGGAAGGCAGATCGTATAGAAGCTGCTTTTTACCTCCCGAGCACACCTGAGTGCTACATTAAGTTTATGATTTCACATGGTTTCTCGTATTTCGAAATGTTCCGGACAACTTTCGGATTTACTTTAGGTGTTCCTGTGCTGAGTCACGACGTCAGAGAGTTCATTCAGTTGTGATCAGACGCAACATCCGCTGGACAGAGTAAGATCTCAAGGAATGCAACCTTTAAAATCCTTGCAACTCCTTGATTTTTTTTAACAGGTTTTTTGTGAAAACATCGGATTTAACCAAGAATCACTAAGAGTTCCTCGCATGAGAAGATACCCGAGTTTCACACAGGAGAGTCGTTTCCTCCCAGCGTGTCTGTGGTTGATTCGGTTTCCTCATCTGCCCAGCCAACAACCGACATGAAAGTCTGAGGTGTTCCCTTTGCCTCTGGGACAACGGCTGTTGATTGGGAGAGGAATGACGAACCCCAACCTCTTGTGTGTTTACTGTAATTAAAGTGTCACGACTTTTGATTTATGATGCGTTGAGTAAGAGAGTTGTTATCACATGAAATCATAAAAAAAAGGCAGGAGGGTGGTTGTACTTACAGAGAAAATAGGAAATGAAGACGCCGAGTCCTGTGTTAAACCCAAAGCTTGAAGGCAAAAGGGAGATTATCTCAGACTGCCTCTGTTTGAGGTTTGTGCAACAATAGACTCATAGGTGTTTGTTTGTTTGTTGATGAAATGACTCGGCTGATCTCAACATTCATCTCTTTGTTAGAGGGCTTTGCAGAAGTTGCAGAAGCACAGTGTTTATAAGTCACCAAGGCATGTTTTTAAAGAAGTCCAATGTAATTTTGCCTTTCAGTGTTTGGCCTGCACTTGATTGGTCGATGTCTCGTCCAGCTCCATGTCCCATTTACACTTTAAGAGGGGCCAGCGCTCCTCTTAACACTCTCCACTTCAGATGCTCTGGAGGCGACAGCCCCCTGCTGTTTTCTGGGTGAGTCAACTAGGGCTGAAACGATTAATCTGATTAATTGTGATGAATCGCGAAGAATCGATTATTGAGATAATTGTCAGCTAATTCAGGAATCCAATCATTAGGTGGAGAATACATTCACTCAACTGCAATTTAAGAACTATTAGATCTATATGCATTTTGCATTTAAGAAAAAAACTTATCTAGTAACTTATGGGTTGAGGTATGAGTTGAGTAATGTTGAAAAAAAAATTATGTTATACCTCAGGAGATTATTGACAAAACCGCTGTATTTTTCAGAATTAAAAAAAATAAAAAATCCGTTGTTTGTATGTGTGCAGTAGAGTTTTTGTGTTCGCATGATTTTGCAGGTCTGCAAAAGGCGCCGTCCACATCTGGAACCTGAACAGCCGGAGGGCAGAGCGGGTTCTAGAGGGTCATGGTGGTAATTCAGTCATCTGGGTCAGCACACTGCGGACAGGAGATGCTCTCATCAGGTATGTCTCGAGATCCGCTCCTATTGGCCGGTCTGCAGACACCTGCTGCTGGAACCACCTGCAAAACTTTACCTTCGTCTTCTCCTATTGCTTCACCACTTTTGCTACGGTTACTAGCGAACATCATGAAGATAATGAGTCACTCGGACTGCTAACTCCAGTGCAGTTTGGCTATCTTTGCATATTTTGTGAATTTTCCAACGGTGACATTGTGAAATAAGACTCACATTAAAAGCCGAGTGTTTGAACTGTTCAGCGTCGACTTGTACCGACTCTGAAGACAGAATTAAAGGATTTATTTAGTAAAGCACAGACTACTGTCAATAAATGCTTTTGACAATTTAAGCTAACTATACATTTGTGTATGGATCTTAATAGTATAACTTTTGTCCCTTTTTCTTCTTCTCTCTGTAAATGGAGCAGTCAGGGACGTGACATGCGGGTATGCCTGTGGGATCTGACTGAAGGTCGCAGCGAGGCGGTGGACTCCGTGTGGACGGGCAGTGTTGGGTTCTGTCAGTGCTCCGTGCTGGAAACAAGCTCCTCCAGCTACCTGCTGGCATTTGCTGGCCCGCAGACCGAAGAGGTGAGAGGTCAAGCACAAAGGGTATTTCTAGTCAGTCTACCGCCTTGACTTTACAGCTTAGCTCATTTTTCTGCATTTGTTAAGGGTTAGAGCAAATATATCAGCAGATGGCTGGACAATGTTTGTGTTTGCCACTGGTTCACTTCTGTTGCCAACCCAAAGGCTACATGCATTCTGTTTAGTACTAGTGTAATAAGCAGTGCACTAATGCAAAGGAATTGTCAACAGTGTCTTTGTTGACACTGAAATCAATTTTTATATTTTTTTTGGCTTTGAGTCCATAATTTGTTAATGGATAACTAAACAAGAGCTGCTTTCTTATTTCTGAATCCGCTCAAGGATTGCGAGCGAGTTTGACAAGACTTAACACGATGCATAAAACATAAAATCTGCAGCCAAGAACCGTCAAACAGTAACAGTAATCAGAGTGACATCATTAGAAAAACAGCGGGGAAGAGCATGATCTTTATACCAAAGACATTGTCATTAATCTGGGGCTTTTATAAATGAATTTGTAGTGCAGTTTTTCCTGGACGGACTGGTTATATCACAATCAACTTTAAGGACAAATGTCGACCTACACTTTTTGAATTGGTTGCAAATTTTCTCTCATTTGAGTCTGATAGTTTATAGTTGATTTGCCTTAAATTGTGTGTCTGTGTAACAATTTGTGAAAGTATCTTTAATCTTAGACTCTTTGTACTTTTAGAAAAGCGCTACATGAGTTCAGTCCTTTCACCATTTTTACACCGACATAAAACGTTTTTAACTTTATAACTTTTTGGGGAAAAAAATTATGTTTTCAAAGCGAAAAATCATTAATATAATGTTTCGTACTCAATATATACAAACAATTCTTTAAATAAAAAATTGTAAAGGCAATGCCAGTAGTGCAACAATCTGAAACTTAACAAATTTCAAAAATTTCAAACATTTAACCATCTAAAGGTATGTCACGTTGAGATTTGGCCTGTTTTACCTCAACTTTTGTGTGTTTGGATGTAATGTGTAACACTTTTACTGTAATTACGATGCTAAATACTTCAGTCCATGTACCAAACTTCCTTCTGACTCTCTTTTTTTCAATTAGACAAATATTAGATCTGACATAAGATTTTAAATACCGAACAAAACTGCCAGGCATTTTTTTTATACTCCTTTTTCAGGATTTGATTTTATTTAGTTCTTTTGCAAGAAGGAACTTTTTAATTTTTTTATTAAAAACTATTGTATTTTTTTGTTTCTTTTTTGTCAGTAAAATTAGGACTAAATAAAAAACTGATACCTAAGCCTAAATGCAATTTTACACAACTAGTTTCATGGTTTCACGAGTCAAAGTGAAGCCAATTCAGTCATAGTAAAAGAGGAGATGGTGGTGGTGGCATCATCCTGGTGGTCTGTTCATTGCAAGTCCGGTGTGAATGAAATAATAAAGGAGAACGTCAACTTCTGAAATGTTTAATTTTCCTCATATTGGACACGCTCATAGACTTCTAGAGTGACCTGGACCTCAACCCTATTGATTGTGATTGGTTTCTGTGCTGGAAACCAACCAATTTAAATGAACTCCTCCAATTAATAAAAGTTCGTAAACATCCAACCAGAATCACTCCAGAAGCTTATTGATTGCTACCAAAAGAGTGTGGTTTCTCTGCGATTTACTAAGGGATTATTATCTAAATAGATTCTCGCCACCACTGTAAATCTCATATTTTAAGCCAGGAACTGTCAAACAGTAATCAGAATGTTTTCCTTATTAAACCTCTGTGGAAGAATTTAATCTGGACCAGGAGCTAAATATCGGTCGGTTTCGGTCGCGGCTTTTTATTGAATGCTCTTGTCTAAAGCACCTAATAAGCCCTCAGCGATTCCTTCGAAAGTAAGCTACATTGTGAGTTTAGCTTACTAATGACGAAATCCATTTCAATTGATGAAATAATTCAGGTGCCTGCTATACACATTGAATCCACAGGGAGAGGAAAAAAAACTGAAGAAGAAAGAAGTGAACTTGGAATGAGATCACACTTCTGTCCGTCTCGTAGTTAATTCACGACGCCTGCGAGCTTGTACGGTTTTTGTGTGGAGCCACTGTCTGAGAGGTGAGACTGGATGGGGAGAAGGCAGCCAAAAGCTCATTCAGCCATCTTTTATTGCCTCCAGCTTCATGTTACGCGCAACTTGAAAGGGCCGGGGACGGTCACCTGATCCGGTCAGACGTGCCTCCGCTAACCCCCGGGTCCGGCTTGCCCGGTCAGCGGGGCGCCTGTGACTCCCAGCACCTCAATAATGCCATTGTCCCAACAGACACAGACAGAGGCACACCTATGCAGCCATTAAAGGCAGACCAGAACGGACTGCGGCCCTCCTATTTTTTTTTTTTGTCATTTGGCATCTCCACCCCATTCCACAGACATAACGGGCCAAGACAGATGCTTATCATGCATGTGCAAGTAAAACACCCTCATTAACAAATTTCTGCAGAAACAATGCACAGGCTCATGCCAATAAGCACGCACAATGGTGTGATTTACCACATGCAGAAAAAAAAACACAAAACAAAAAAAAACCAGGTCAGTATTTGGATATATGACAAGAAAGCAGACAAAACAAAAAGTTCCTACTGAGGAGTTTTTGTTTTGTTTGTTTTGCTTCTCTGTTTACTGCTCACATTGACATTCCTGCCAGCAGTAGATAACTGTCGTGGCAGAACCATTAATTAATAGCGTGGGTGTTTTATTTATGGGGCAGTTTGATGCCACACAAGAACAGAGATCACCTGAGGCGCAGAGGAGCCTTAAAAGCTCCCTTTGTCAGGCACGCAGAGGTAAACATGGAGGACAGATGTGGCCTAGTGATAAAATACAGATCACTCCCTTAAAGGGCTGTTTAACGTGAAGCCTAATGACGATGAATATGCGAATCATCGGCCGGGAGGAAGCCGGAGGAGTTAGTTTTGCCCCTAATGTGGGTACAAACGTGCACACTTTATGACTCCATCGTTTTCATTAGAAGTCGATTCCAACGTGTGCAGGGAAAGCAGGACTCATGTCGTCGGGTAAGGCTGCCGCTGGATGGGTCGTAGACAGCCCTGTGCTAGCTGGTGGTGGAATGATCTGCGGAAAAAACAAACAAACAAGAAAAGAACAGTAATTATAATGACATGATTCTGGTTGCAGCTGTGATGTGTGAAATCAGCAGGCAGGTTATAACTTGCAGCTTGTGAGCAGATATTGCACCCGCAAGTGTGCTTTCCCCAAATATGAAGCCTTCTTCCAGCCGTGAAGACAGATTCATTAAGATAAAAATACAAAAAATAATTTAAACTTAATTAGGCTAAATACAGTGCAAATAAAAGGTTTTTATCACCCCTGAGCCTTTTCATATTTTGCCACACCACAAATTTCAAAGTACAACAATGTGTTCGAAATGTTTGTGATAGACTAACACACTATTTAGTATAATTGTGAAGCAGAAGAAAGGTGCGGTTTTTTTTCTAATTTATTTATTTTTCACATTTGAATTTACCATCCTTATGCTAGGGACAAGTGCTGCAAATTAGTTGTTGCCATTGCACTGCTGTTTAGTTCAGTTTGTCTATGTCGATGTGTGTCTGTCCCTATGAAATAAACTTAATAATATTAATAATAATAACAATATTGCTAAATAAAGTACAATGTTCTGATGTTTTAATAATATATTAAATAATATATTGTTTTAATAATATATTGATATTGATGAGAATGTAACATCTTTTACGTAAAATAATTTGCCACCTTTACCTCAATTGTTTGCTTTCTTGATAAAAAAGTTACTTCTGAGTGACCTTTGTCTTATTTCAAGCACACTGACACATTTGCACTAGAAATATTTGGTAAGATTTTGTTTTTGCGATTATGATCATTATTGAGGTGCACCACAGATCAAGGCTTTTATCCAACACATCATATGAAGTCCCAGTCGGTGTTTGACACAAGCCATGCAGGGAACACAGAAAACAAGTGGAAGATGGAGCTCTTGTCCAATGTTTTTTTTTTGCCCTACACTGCCTCTACCACTGTCATGGTGGAGGCAGCATCATGAAATGACCCGATTGAAAATCCAGACCTAAAGTCAACAATAAAAAAATAATTATCTGCTGCTAGGCTTGAAATTCGCTGCTCCTGGACTGTTAAGTTGCAGTTTGATGGCTTGAAAATGGCCTCTGTCTCTTTAAGAAGCTCCCACTCTTTCAGTCCATTTTTCAGTCCTTCTCCATTATCCCATTTACAACCGTTGTGAGGAGTGTTGGGCTGAGAAGTGGTTTGCATGGTAATCTCAGCAGCTCCATCGGGTGTTCGCTCATTTCTGCCGCCGCTAATCTGGGGGAGCTTGACTGGAGAGGTGGAGTTTCGTGGAAATAAATAGTGCTTTAAACACCTGGAATGGTTGTCATGGTAGATTCAAGGATACTCATAAAAGAATCAAAGCAACACTTCAAGTATATTTCTGATGAGGGAATAAGATTGTGAGATAAAGCTTTAAAAAAAAAGTCTATCCTTTAAAAAAATGCAGCGTCACAAAATGAAAGGAGCCTTACAGCTTTTTCACACAGGCATAAATAAAAACTGAAACGTTTAATCTGTTCTCCACAGATCAAGGTCATCGAGATGCCCAGTAAGAACCCGGTCTGCACGCTGACACCAGACACGAAGCTGGGAATGGTCATGTGCGTACAACTGTGGAAGGTAAGCCGGCTCTGGCGCCATCACACCTTTTCTCTGCTGGTTGTTTGAATCGATATCGAACATGCGTTCTGTCTCTTGCTCCACATCACACGACTAGTTGCAGTAACAGACAAATCAACAATGAAAAAATAAATAAATAAATAAAATCGCACACGCAGGAGACACGGTCAGATTTACGGCTCAACGACTCGTCCTGGGCCATTTTTCCATGCGTTGCTTCTCAGCTGGCAGCCAGTCCCAACACTGTAATTAGAGCGTTTGGAAAGGCCGTGGGTTCACATCCATATATCAGCCTGCAGCTGTATATCCAATCTGATCTGACCAAAACGCTTTTTGTTTTGTTTTGTGGACACCGTCGAGCCGTTTTATTTTCCTCTCATTAATGTGATCCTATGATTATTTTCACGGTTAATATTGGCTTTTTTTTTTTTTTTTGTTGCCAGTTTTGGGACCGTGGTCAGAGACGCGCTGTTTCTGTGTGCGTTTTATGAGCTTGTTAAAGTTTACAGGTAACAGACATAAAAAAAAAACCTGCTTATCGTGTTTAAAACTACAGCCAGGCAGGCCTCCAGGAGCCCTGCGCCTTTTCAATCCGAGCGCTATTAAAAAAAAAGTAAAAAAAAAAAAAAAAAACAGACGCACACAAACTGGTGACGGTCTGCTTCAGAGTGCGTTGACGAGTTTGTTTCCAAAACCTTCTTTGTTTTGCTTTGACTCTGCTTGCTGTGCCTACTTTTCATCTGCTGATTTATGAACCGGTGCTGCCTCCGCGCTGAGTGCCAAGAAACCAAATGATCAATTATAGGATTATAAATGTTATAACATCAATGTAATACAGCACAGGCAGCTGCCTGACTTCAAAGCTGAACAGGCTCAGGTGACTGTAAATCATTTTATGAGGATTCCTTAAGAGACAAACGCTTACTCCCGTGCTCCGATTATTTTAGTGGAAAACATACTTTTATGATTGTATTCAGAGCCTTCCTTCTCTTCACTTGTTTAATAAGTTAAAAGAAAGAAGCATCTCTCCACATCAAGGGCTCTTCCTGGAACCCACAGCGCTGGAGACAGTGGCCCCGCCCACAATCACCTCTTGTCATTCGCCTCTCGCCATTTAATAATGATGGTCCTTATTTCTGAAAACAGACTCCCCAGTACATTTACTACAAGATCAGCAGCAGCATTAAACGACATCATTCAGTTTCACTTTTTTATTGTATTCTCTTTCAGTAAGTCTAGCTTTTTTCACTTTTTGTAACTTCATAATCACACAGGTGATTAACAGTGTAGTATAAAATTATGTGCTTTATTTATCGGTTTTGTTTTTGTTGTGGAATATTTTATGGGGACTAGTAATATGACACTACTGCATAATTGTGCAACTAAACATTAAAGGAAAATGTGCTTTTTGCAATTTTTAAGATCTGCAAAAATCTTAAACATATTTTATTGTATTTTAGCCCCTCCCACCTTCCCTGCAAAAGTCTTAATTAAATCAAATCTCGCAGCAATTTCTGTAATATAAAGTATTTGCTTACTTTTTTCTGCCAACATGCAGAGTTTAGACACTTACATTTCTGACTGTTTGTTTGCAGGACAGTTCAGATCAGTCACATTGGATGCATGTCAAGTCTTACCAGAGATTCCCAATTAGATTTAGATTGGACTTTATTTAGGACATTCCAACACAAGATTGTGCCTTAATTTAAGGCTACACTGATAAGTTGGCTCCGATTTCCTTCATTTTGGGAAATCAGCTATCGGCCGGTAAATATATGAAAAACCGATATCCAGCAAAAGGCCTTTGAAAAAGCCTGTTGCTCTGCTGTGGGAGAGGACAGACAGACAGGCAGACCCACCCACCCACAGACAGACAGACCCACCCAGACAGACCACATCTGCACGTCCCTGGTTAACAGTAGTCTCATGTTGGAAATATTTTCTTTTTTAAACAAAAAAATTGTTGCTGGCAGGTCAGCATCTTTGAAAATCAGTGATCGGTACGTAAACCGATCACTGTGGTGGCAAAATGCAGCACCCATGACCATCAATTACTCTCACCGCTATTAATTTTCTGTTTCGTAGAAACCCAGTAAAACTCATCAAAGTCCACAAAATGTGAAAAGAACTTCAGGTAATGGACTCTATCTTAAAAATTGAGGCGTATACTGTTTTATCCCTCCCCATCTGATCAGCTTTGATGGAGCGAACGATCGAAAGTGGCTCCACATGTGGCTTTGACTCGCGCCAGGACACCGGGCCCTGGCCGCGGGGACGGCGGTGATGTACGACGTGCGAGGCTTCTGATGTGAGCGGAGGGTGGCTGGGAAAAAGGAAATGTTCCTTTACAGATATCCATCACTCTGAGCTCATCACCTCGCTGCCTTGTGGCCATCACATGGTGGCGGGAGCAGAACGACGACCACAGGAAACGATTGGTTCCTTATGTAGAAGCAGCTCCCGCCCCGAGGCCTGCGCCGCCACATCAACAACTCTGGCCTGTTCATCGGTTAAAGAGAACTAGGTTCTCACGTGGAACTAAAAGAAGAAAAGTTAATACATTTCTAGCTCTCCTTATAGAAAATAATATAAAAAAAACAAAAATAACACAATTACCTTCATGTTAGCATATTTTTCAAATAGTTTGATGACAATAAATTCCATCCAGCTTTTTCTTGAGTCCCTTTTTGCAGCCAACCTTTGTGTCGCTTTAAAATTTTAAAAAATTGTAATGTTTATCAGAACGAAACTCCTTACAAATTGACTTTCATCTAGCTTTCCCTTTCTTAGGTGATCAAATCTTTAAAATGTGATCATTACTGAGATCTCTTTTCTTACCTCATATCATGTTTTATTCGATTTACATCAAGGTTTATCATTTCTTTTTTTTTTTTTTTTTAATTAATGAATTCCGTGAGGCGTAAATAAATAGCCCATCAAACAGAGCTGGAGAAGTCCGAAACACCTACTGTAATGTTAAATGTTACTGTTTACTTCCGTAAAAAATTTGGGAAAAAGTTTTTTTTTTCTTTCTTCCAAATAATGAGCAATAAAAAAACTCCACTGCACAGAAAAGAGATTAGTGCAAAACCAAATTTCACATTTACATAGTCATTTCAGATGTTTTCCCCCTTTAAGGTGGATGTTGCTCTATAATCCGTACTTCATACGCAGATAGTGAAATTCACACATTTATTCAGTGAAGTCTAAGCTCCACTAAAGTTTTATTAAAAGTTCTGTGGCACAAAATATAAACAAGAATTAAAAGGAGTTAATTTATCGAGGCTTCCTTTCCTGCTAAAACGACTAAACTAGAGCCAGAACCAAATCCTGTCAGAGAAGAGAACAGCATCTTTCTCTAGCAGTGTGAGGTGTGTGTTTGTGTGTACCAATATTAGAATAATCAGTGGTTTTGAGAGGAGTTCAGGTCCTCAAATAAATCATTTGAAATCTCCCAGAGATTAGCTGCTTCAAAACATTTAAAAAAAAGCTTTTTTTTTTCTTTTCTTTTCCTTTTTTTCTTTTTTGGAACGATTCATTGAAACAGTTCTTGAACAGATCTTCAAGATCCAGCTCCCCTCAAACAGCTGTGAATCCCATCTATTTGCATCACGTAGCAACCTGAATTTGCAATGGCAGCCAGCCGTGACCGGTTTAAACATGCTCAAAGTCCAACTCATTAAACAGGAAGAAAATGTAATTGGATGCATTACTTTAAGTGACTTTAGTAGTTATAAGTTATCAAGTTAGTAACTACTAACTGTAAACATTTGTAAAGTGTCCTTCCTACCCAGCACTGGCAGAGACATCATTTTCAGAGAAGCTATGAAAGATCAAAATGATCTCATTGTATAAAGATATAAGTCAACGGAAGAGAGAAAACAAACTTCCACAGCTTTACTTGGTGCAGTCAAGACAATGTTTAATAATTTAACCAAATATATTTAAAAAAAAAAACCCTGAACTGCAACATTAGAAGAACTGGATGTTCTTTCAAAAATAATGAAAAAAAAACTAAACTAAATGGAGGCTGGTTAATGAGGCTTCCAAGAGCCTAACATCAACCCTTGAAAGAGCTGCAGGAATTTCTGTCAGATGGTGGATGCGTTCTGCATGTCTCAGTAACATCCCGTGTTCTCCACATCGCTGGTGTAAGGGCTGCAAAACAGAATCTGTCGCTTCCAAAGAAAATAGCTGAGCCTGGCTAAAGTCTTCTAAAAGTAATGTTATGGTCTGAAGACTTAAACTTTCGCACTTCAAAAGTGCGAAAGTTATCCTCCGACCCATGACATTCAGAAAGATACGTTTGGCACAACCGAACCTGGTCATCACCAAAGACACGTCGCACCCAGAGGGAAACGTGGATAAAAAAAACACTAGCCTGTTTTTTTTATCCCAAAATGTCTTCTATTTGAAAAAGTGAACAAGAAAATTAGTTTTACGTCTTAGCATCACTTTGAGTGACGGGATATTACAAAACAACAACAACAACAACAACGCATTAATTAAGCCAAAACTGTTCAAAATATGTATACATTAAGTTAAAAACGTGACACAGCTTTGGCTTTGCCCGGCTCAAATCCACCGACCTTATGCTGTCATTGCAGTTTATGAAGTATAAAGTGCAATTTTTCTTATTTAGAAAATGAAAAATCTGTAGAATGTGCCAATTTTTCTTATCCAATTAACCGTCAGAGCAACTAACAATCATCAAAAATAATCATCCCTATAACACTTCAAACATTGCTACTGAATTGGCAGTTCAAACATTTCTTTTTGTTTCAAAGAAACCAGCAGTTTCTTACTTTTGGAGTTGTGATCTAATTTCATTTTAAGCAATGAAACCCTGGGTGAAATCTGCACCACTCCGGTCGCCCCGGCACTCTGCTGTTCTAGAAGAGGCGGTTCCTCTCTCTTCTTCTATGCAGCTGTTCTCCTGTGATGAATCTCCACCCGGTGCCCCAGCCCCACTCCAGCAGAGAGAGCCCTCTTGTAGAAAGGCCTGTGGAGGATATAATGAATTAGGTGTCTACCCAGGGTTCCCCGACCTCTGACCCATGACATCATCAATCAAGGAGGTCCTTCGCTTAAGTGTAACGCTGGGCCCCAATCTGGATCGCTCGGCCCGGTCCCTGCCGGCAAGCAGGGGGCGGGGAGCCACTGATTTTCACTTGTTTTTATTTGTTTTCATAATCCCTCCGTGTTCGTCCTCCGCTGATGTGTTTGGAAGGAGTACACGACTCCGTCTATAATTTGTTTCAAGCTGGAAGTGGAGAAATATGGAGCGTTAACAGAGGAGAGGAGAAAAATGGCTGACATGGTCTCTGCACATATGGGAAAAAAAAATTCCCTTCTGGCTTCTGCATAGTACTGTGTTTTCTTCTTCTTCTTCTCCTTCTTCTTAAGGCCTTGTGTTATTTTAAAAGCAAAAGGTAGAGCCAGAGCAGCGCAGAGTACCTGTGTTTATTCCTCGATCATCTGAAGTCTGTCTGGATCGAGCGCTGACCTTTCATAAGGCTCGACAAAGTTCAAGGCTTTGTCCAGACAGTTGCCCAACCAGGTGTGGGTTTGCTGTGGTGTGTTCAAACTTCATCCATCCATTTTCTAACACCCTTGTCCCGAGTGGGCTCCGGAGGGGTGCTGGTGCCTATCTCCAGGGAACGTTTCGGGCGAGAGGCGGGGTTCACCCTGGACAGGTCGCCAGGGCAACGCAGAGACAGACAGGACAGACAACCACGCACACACACACTCACACCTTGGGAGGATTTAGAGAGACCAGTGAACCTGACAGTCATGTTTTTGGACTGTGGGAGGAAGCTGGAGTACCCAGAAAGAACCCATGCATGCACAGGACCTTCTTGCTGCACGGTAACAGTGCTACCAACTGCGCCACTGTGTTCAAACCTAAAATAAGAAATTGTGTTTTTATTTCATTTTCTGTTTATTCATTACTATGAATCCTAAACCTCTTTCCACTCCTTCTGTTTCAGTCTTTTCCTCTCAGTATTAGTTCAGTCACTCTTTACTTTATTTACTTTCATTACATAACATCTCAACTCTACCATGCGCTTTTAATTGCACAAGATTTACCCTTTTAATAGAAATACATGTTTGATGCTCGTTCTCCTGCAGGTCATATACTGTCGTTCTCCTGCAGGTCATATACTCTCCTGCAGGGTGGGCGTTTATCGTATTGTTTATTATTTATCGTGATAAGATTTTGATTTAACATTATCGCGATAAATTCCAAATGATATTTGAAAAAAACCTGTCCATCTTATTGGGATTGTTATTCTCACTATTTTTCTCCCCTCAAGGGCGTGTGAATACATTTGAAAATATTATAGTGCATTTCAGTGATACAAAATACACTTCTGACTGGTGTCTAAAGAAGCGTATTAAAAGTGGGGATGTTTTTCAAGAGCAACTTGTGTGAGACTGATTACTGTGACATGAAGTCACAAAATATTATGATAAAACTTTAAGTTCACCCCTACAGGAAATATTAAAAGGCGCTCATGTCTTAAATATTTTTTAACATTGTGCCACATACAAACACAAAATTGTCAATTTTCTGTAATTAAAATCCGAAATGTGTGGCATGAGATCAGTCTTTTGCTGCAGTTGTAGCTGCAAGTTTTTTGGGATTCAATTTTAAAAAAGAAAGATTATTTCACAACCTTGATATATAAAATCCCAATTAAAAAAAAAAAACATCCAAATTTGAAGGTCTGCCATGTCAAAGTCATAGTCCGACTAGGGCAAATTGAAATACCAGTTGCATTTTGTGCATTGATAGACGTTAGAAAGTGTCAAATGATGGATGAAATTATACTGTTGCGCTGCAGAGAGCAGCTGGCTGACGAATGGAGGCCACAACATCTCTGAGTGTCAGCCGGCATTTCCAGGCTGATAACCTCTGCTCCTCTCAGCTCCCAGCACCACACTTTTTTTTCTTTCTTTTTTTTTTTTTTAATGGCTTTCTAAACCTCTGTGTTGATCTCACGTCTTAACTTGCGTCGCTCTCCTTCCGTTCCTGCTGTCCCTCCTCCCTCTCTTTTCCTCTCCTCTCTTGCAGCCTGACTCGGGTCTCGGACCGCTGCTGTTCGCTGGATACGAGGACGGTTCCCTGTTGCTGTGGGACGTAACCCAGAGGTCCGAGCTGAGCCGTGTCAAAGCCCACCCCGAGCCCGTCATGTGCCTGACCTTTGACCCCGGCCGTCTGAGGGGCGTCTCGGGCTCCTGTGAGAAGAAGCTCTCTTCGTGGATGCTGGACGGCCAGAACCACATACAGGTTAGGAGGCTCCAGGCTTATCCAGCTGATCTGGTTGTGTTTGTTGTTTAGGCTGCAACTCAGGAGATCCTGAATATGTGTTGCTACTTTTTGACCTCTCCAATCCCTTTATTCGTCATTTTTGACCGTTTCAGCTAGCAGTTGCCATCTATACATTTGGTTTTATTCCCTTCATCATTTTCTAAAAGCGTCAGCGTCTCCGTATCAAATCTGTGCATTACTTACAACTACGTAACAATTTTTTAATATTATGAATTAGAAGAACAAAGAAACCATCTTTGGTTTCTGGTAGATGGACATTGTTCACGTCTCACTTTGAACGACCTTAGACAAAGACTGATGAGCAGGAACGATTTTGTCGTACCAGTAAAAGCTCTCCTCAGTGTGGAAGCTGTTACTGTGGGAAGAAGACCCTTGTATTAGCTACATTCAGTTTTAGTGAGTTTGTTAAAAGCTTAATCTACGGACGTGAGCAGATGTAAGGAAATTGAAACTGTATTTTGCTGCAAAAGAGCAACACTTCCAAATGATCTCAGTAGCTTTGTTTTATTACAGCTGAGCTTTCAAACTCTGCTCCCAGTCACGTGACATTTTCGAAGTGGAAATGTTTGGAGGAAGGTAAGAATATGAAGTTTGCTGCTAGGAAGTAAAAAAAAAAAAACACTGAAGTCCATAAACAATTTGTCCTTGTTTTATTATATTAGCATAGGTGAGCACACTTTCGCTAGTGCGCTAATAGTTAAAATAATTATTTTTACTTCCTTGGGACAGTTTCCATGCTTAGTTTCCCCTAATTGAACTTTTCTGGATGACTTATAATGCACTAATTTACTTTGCTGGTTTGTAAACTTTCAGTTGAATAAAGATCAACATCTATTTGGACAGTCACAAACTCTTCAAGTAGACGTTAATATTTATGCTCTTATTTTGAAAAGAGTGAAGACTTTTTCACTTTTTTGTTTCCTCTCCTCACATTTTCTCTCTCTGTCTCTCTCTCTACATCTGTTTCTCTATTTTTTCACCTTATAACTTTATTTCAAACAAGGAATGTACAAGAATTAACGTTAGCTCTTTAGCCTTAGCTACTGGTAAATACCAGGCTGGTGTAGTGGTTTAGCATTGACAGAGCTATTATTTGTGTTTAGGGCTTTAGTGTACCTAACTTTTTAGTTAGTGGTGTCCACCATTAAAGATTAGTTAAATCCTGTTTAACCACAACTTGTTCTCTCACACACACATCATGACATCACTGCTCCTAATATGAATAATCAATGACCGTTCAGAGAAGGTAAAGCTCAGCTTCTCTGCCTGCTAACTGATTGTTGCGCCCAATGGTCATCTAAATCCCATGGAGTGGAATAAATGGTACCAGAGGAGAGGAGAGTGTTGGCTTTCGCCCGACTTGCTTGGAAAACATTAGGGGCCATAGAGGAAGAGGCTCAGCGGGGCTCCAAGGGCCATAAATCAGCTGCTGGTTACACAGTGTTGGCAGGGCTCGGGGCCAAGGGCCAGGCTGAGGCTGTCACTCTAGAGTCGAACCACCCACAGACACTCTGAGACATTCTTAATATGTTCAAAAGCAGCAGTTGCTGTTCTCAGGAATCGCTTTGTGCAGCAAATAAAATTGGAAATTGTCACTGATATTTTAAGAGCAATATAGAAGGAAATTGTTCGTACGTACACTTGGATGGCAGACGTCGCAGCATCTCACACTAGCGTGTGTTTCAATTTCACACTCCCCCGCCCCTGCCACACTTAAAGAGATCACATCAGCTTTCGTACCATAATTCATTTTACATAACAGCTCCTGCTTCAGAGACTTTCTGCCTCATTTGAAGCTGTATTTTCTCTTGATTTCATGAGCAAATAGGAATGCTTCTATTTTTCAGTCAAACCTCATGAATCAACGCCAAGGGGAACCTACGGCTGATATAGTGGGCTCCTAGCTCCAGCGAAGGGGTATTATTCTTTCCAGGGCTTTTTACAAATGAACGCTTGAATTAGAAATATTTGCAGAGCTCCCATTTTCTCACCCCGAATATGTGTCTAGACAAACACGGCGCAGGATTTCAGTCAGTATACCATAAACAGGAGGCGAGTAGTTATTGGGGTTTATTTTGCTGAAGCAACAAAATATTGATTCAGCGTGTAATCCAGGATGAGGATGACCGGGGGAAAAAAAGCACAAGGAAGAGGGAAAGGATTCAGTTGGGGCTTTTAAATTACTCCGAAGTGCAGCTCAGTGTGACGTCCAGACAGCTATCCTCTGCGCTTCCCACAGACGTATTTTCTGTGTGGCCGGGGTGGAGGTCCTGCCGGGTGGCAGGTCCGGGCCACGGCTTCTGACGGACGACCTGCGAGAGGTAATAAAAATATCAAAACCTGGAGGCCCCTAAGCCAAACAAAAAACACATCTGCAGTAAGGGGAACAGTAGTTCACGGTGGGAGGCTGCAATAAAGACCGGGGAGACTGCAAGTGCCACAGCATCTCACTTCCCACAAATTACCCCGGCAATAAAGAGTGCAGTGGAGCTGGCTGGGCGAGGCAGATGGATGGCTGTAGTGAAATCCAGGAGGGAACTGAATTTGACATAAAACAGCGCAGTTATGATTTAGTGACACTGGAAGTCTATGAAGTGAGCTTATCTGGGCCAGATAAAGACAGATGGGCACAGGAATGGAGGTTAATGTGTTGCACATGGCTCCCAGAGGCCTTTATCTGCCATGTGACCCTGCTGGCCTCAGATTTTTTTGTGGTAGCGAAGCATCGTCTTCATCCCTGTTTCCCTTCTACTGGGCATTTTTGGGATTGTGAGGATGTGTGGGTGTTGGGGTTCACTAGCCGTTAAATTACATAATATATGCATGGATTTAACTCCTTGTTAAATCCACAAAATCCATAATTTGAATATAATTTGAGTTCATTGATACTTTAGAAACAAATAAATGTCTACTTTATTTTATTATTTATTTTTTACAAAATCACACATTGACACCACCACTTGAGTACTGTAGACAATAAATCAGCAGCATTTTGCATGGTCTGCAACTGGCCAACAGTAGATTTGTTCAGATTTGTAAATGCAATACAATAATTCAGATGAGATGAAACAAAGGCATGAATTCAGACGAAGAAGGATGGAACGGAGGATTTGACTCAGTTTTCAACCTTATGCCAAGGTTTCGAACAGCAGATTTACCTTAAACACCAAGAGGCCCAAGGACCACCGTTATCTTTTAGTTATTATTTCTGGTGCAAAGATAATTATTTTTATTATTATTATTACATGAAGAAAACCATCTCACAGAGTAGCTATCCAACATTCAACTCCTGCAGACTAGCCAGCGCAATCAGCAAACACCTGGTGGAACTGCACATTTGCTGAGATCGTTATAGGACCTACTTCTCAGTTGTTAAAGGGTTAATAGAAGAGCCATATTGTGATGAATTCCTAAATGTGGAGCTTCAGAAAGAGCAGGAGTTTCCCACAGACAGATGTCTTGTTTTATTGACTAATCTTAACAATTGATGGCAACAAATTGTCCCATTTCAATGCATGGACAAGTGCAATGATGAGTTTGTTCAGGAGAGAGAGAGAAATGCAGGCTGTGGCCTGTAAAAGGAAAAAGGAAGGCTTCCATAGTAAGTCGGTCATGTCTGACAGCTTGTTCTATCTGATGACAGTTCTTGACAGGAAGTCCTGCTCCTCGTCTTTGAATGGGACTGTAACAACATTCCCACCCAGTGGTCACCTGTATGGTTTCTCTGTCCAAATAGAATGGTTGTCCTGATGGTTTCATCCTCACAGGGCCTATAACACTTCTGCAGCTTTCATAAAAATAATAAAATAATAAAATTGTGTTCCCTCTCCCAATGCTTTTTCTTCTCTCCTCCGGTCACCAGTTTCACAAATTCATATCACGTCAGCCAGAGCCAAGCTCCAACCGACAGGGCGACAAAAGGCTGTAATCTCCCCTCCACCAAGTGTGACTCAGGGACAGGGCGTGTCGGGAATACCTGCGAAAAAGCTTCCCAACCGCTAGGCGCAAGTGAGTGAGCGATGACGGGACGTTTCAGTGGATCCGCGTTAACAACAAGACACGTGCCAAGACGAGGAAGGGAAGTGGAGCAGAGCGCGATTGAAACCTGCCACCCTTTCTTCAGCGTGTGCCGAGACCGATGAAATGGGACGAAAGAGGATGGTGAAGTGCGAGTTCGTGTCAGGACACTTGGAGACCCACAGCGAGTGTTGTGGATCCAGCTGTTACATTAAAGTGACTGTGTGTCTGCATCCTTTAACACACGCAGTACAAAGTACAAAGTAAGATGTTCATTTGTCCCTGTTACTGCCACTTGGCCCAACAGACCTGGTTGTTAGTCAACTCCACTTTTTCAATACTCAAATTTATAAGCAAAGGTAATAAAACAAGACAGTGAAATTAGCTCACCAAAAAGAGATACAGAGCCTAGGCTCGTCTATTAAAAATCCAACATATTTAAGTAAGAAGATGGAAGATGGGGCTAATAGTAGAAATAAGATGAGAAAAATATATTTTTTTAAATTGGTTAACTAGATTTGGCTTTTACTGCTCTGCGCTTTTATTTAGAAATCTTAAACATCCAATGAAAATTTTTACAACCGTGTCAAAAGTTTAGACTTCGGTGAGCCAAGTGTAGCAGATTTAAGCCACACTAAACTTGTGCAGCCTTCTCTGTCTCGGTTCCAGTTGTGTGAAACTTCCTAATTATTGTTCTTCTGGGCTTAAATAAGTTTCTATAATCCTTTTGCCAATTCACCTTCTAAGTAAAATATGAAATGGGTAAGAAATAAAAAGTTTTATTTACATTTATTTTAAAGAATTTGCAAGGCTGAACAATAATTGTGTCACCAGTGATTTTTATTTTTTCCTCTCTCTTGAAAAAGAGAGAGGAAAAAAAAGATGTGTTCTACAGCAGTAGAACACATCTTTTCCATTGATATCAATAAATATAAATTATATATTTAATGTCTTGAGCCTTTTTCTAAGAGCATAATTTTATTGGCTGGTTCACGATGTGAAAGAAATGTTTGATGTTGGATTGATGTTCGTTTTTCTAATGCATTTCTACAGCAAGCGTATAATAATCCACATTTTTCCTTTACTGTTTTTGTTTGTTTTACTAAGTTAATTTTGTAAAGCATTTAATTTATTTATTAACTTAATCTTTTATTTGCCTGTTTTCCCCTCGTGTGTTTAGTCCAGGGACTAAATCCCCCAATAAACAGCGACACAGCAGCCGGGGGGACTGTATTCGCCGCTGCACACGGGCATCTTTCATTTTAAATAATGACACAGGACGACCTTTCTTCCGTGTAGCAGTTTTCCTATCCGCAGTTTCTCTCTCTCTGTCTCTCTCGGATAGAAAGTAAAAACAATTAACGAGGCGGCCTCGCTGACTGACCATTACTGCAATCATTAGCCATTTACCGCCTGCAGTTGACCCTTAAATGAAACAAATGCCTTTTCCTGACACAAACTATGGGAAGCAAAACAAACAAAAACAGACACTTAAACCCATCATTATCAGGCCTCTAATGCAGACCAGATGGGGAGAGGTAGGGGCATACCACATACCTGAGGTAATAACAAAGCTCAGAACAATCTCTAACTCCCCTGCTTTTCTCTGGATCTGTTTACCCGTCTTGTTCTGTCTGAATGGGCACGCACACTAGTATTCATGACAAATGTGCAAAATTTTGTTAATATTCCGCTTAGGAAACAATTTTGCAATCGCGGAGTATACGTTAAATAACACTATTGAATTTACACAATATCCTTGTTCATACGATAAGTCGCTAAAAAATATGTTGCTTGCACCGAACATGCGCCTACCACTTCCTGTTGTCTTCTTCTTCTCCACCAGAAGTAACCTCTGGATGTTGATCACATGACTGTAACTCCCATACTTTTCTCTGGATCTGGTTTTCTGGTTTGTTCTGCCTGAATGGTCACACACTTGTTTTTATTTCAGACATGCGCAGAACTTTTTTAATACTCCATGAATGTAAAAAAAAAAAAAACTAAACTATTCAGACTATTCGCAGACTGGGGTGTCAACATCAAGTAAGAGACAATGATAATAACAGGCAAATACAGTATGTTTGTTCACGTGGTAAGTCATTAAAAATCATTTATCTTTCTACCACTTTGTCGCATTCTTGATCTTTTCATCTGGTTGTGATAAAAATAAAGCGTCTGCATTTCAGTTTTGCAAAACACACAAATTTTGATAAGGCCAAAAAAACCACTTCATCCTAGCACAAAAAGTTATCAAAAAACTTTGTTTTCTTTTAAATTGCCGTGTTTATGTTAAAGAAATTTTTTGTAATTCTAATTTGCGCAATTTTACAGTTAATGAAAACATAGCTACTGTTTTACGCTACTGATACCAGCAGAGAAGGGTTCATTACCAAAAGCAAAATAGGAAAAATGGCACCACAAACTGCTTTGAACGTCTTTCCTTTCTTTCTTTTCTTTTTACTATGATCAATGACATTCCTTTCTCTGTTCTCTTTCTCTCTCTTTCTCTCTCACATTCCTCTTGATTCACATCTTGTACCTGGCTTATATCTTCCACATGCAGCTTGCGGACGGGTCCCTGCCCAGAACGGGAGCGTGCATGCAGATACATTCTCCCAACATCTCCTCCCATCCAAGGCCCATTAGTCTCCCCAGACGCAACTTATGAAGTCAATTTTACGCTGTCCAGTTTGATTTCTGCTCCCACGTCCAGATGTTCGCTGCCCATGTAGCGATCCGGCAGATATCCCTGCGCCGCAGAAAGAGCACGTTCTCTCTGCAGGAATGCCCCGGAGCAGCAGGCCCTCCAGATACCGATCTGAGCCATTCATTACAATATGTCAGAATGTTGCCCTTTTAGAGAGATTGATACAATCCTTGGGACAGTAGATCACAGGGAGATGGCAGGAGAGTCGAGGGGGGGCTGTGGCTAATCTTTAGCAGGCAGAAGCTACACCAGCGTATTCATCAGCCGTCTTCACCTGCTGACCAGAACGTAATTCATCAGAGACGCTTGAAGCAGCTGAGTTTCTGCAAACGTGTTTTTCAGCGAGAGGGCCTCTGTTTTGTTTTTTTTTTCTCCCTTTTCTTTTTGCAGTGACACAGGTAACTCGGTTTCCCCATCCCCAGTTCCCTCCTGCGCCCCAACCCAGCGGCGCTAACTCCAAAGCAAATAATGGGACTCTGAGAGATTTCCTCGGGGTTCTCGCGCCGTAATGTTTTATGGCCGATGATTGAGTCCTGGGAGTTTACGGCCAGGTTCAACAGACCTCCAGCCCTCACGCCTGAACCTCCGTCATCGTATCAGTTGATAGCATCTTAGTGTGTGTGTTTTTGTTGGCCACGCTTTCCCTGGAGCGAAGTGACTTAGTGATTTATTGACCTAATTTTTATCTTACTAATGTGTGTTTTCTGTTTACTTTTGCTTTTCGTCCTCGAATTCTCGGTTTATTTGGTTTCATTCTCATCAGACGGTCTCCTCAAAGAAACTGCTTGTTAATGTATTCTTCAAACACACAGAAGTGCTTCAAATGCAAATATTTCTCATTCTATCCAAGCAAACTGTTTGCTAAAGGCCTTTGTCTGTGGTTTTGCAGCTCCAGAACTGCGTGACGCTGGTCAATCCCGGTGTTTCTCAGCTCCGAGTCCGGGGTGACGGGCGCCTGCTGGCATCTGCGGGCTGGGACCACCGAGTGCGAGTGTTCGGCTGGAAGAAGCTGCAGCCGCTGGCGGTCCTTCAGTACCACACGGACATGGTGCTCAGCGTGGCCTTCTCTGATCACCAGGACCCCAGGCAAAGACTGCTGGCTGCTGGATCCAAGGACCAGCGCGTCAGCCTGTGGTCCATTTACAACCAAAATGCCGACACATGCTGATTCTCTGAACTCTCTCTGGGTTTCAGTCTGCAGACTGAAATCAAAATATCATCTGCTCTGTTTTGTAGTGACCCGGTTCGACTCTTGGCATGGGCCGGTACCAGATTCTCTCAGCTTGAGAACTCTGAGGAACAAATGGAAGTTTCACAAAAGAGCAGAACGTAGTTTGCGTTTCTGTTTTAAAATGAAAAAAAAGCAACATGTATTCCTACTTCTGCTCAAACATATTGTGTAAAAATGCTGCAAAAAAATTATGTTCATTTTGATAGCCTTAAGTGGATATTTTGAGTAAATCCCTTCTAAGTTTAGTTATTGATATTACTGGATAAATTAGTAGGGCTGTCTGCTGCTGTACCTAGCTTGCAGCCAACTGCATGACAGACAAGCCGCTTGCAGATTGCTGGCTGTAATTCTACATGCAGCTTCACCTTAATAACAAGACAAAAGTGTGATTCCTTTAATTTCCATATCATGACTGTTATGGGTTTTTTTAAGCAGGTTTATGGAAAATGTTTTTACCTTTCTGTCAGCTTTAACAGCGGAGATGACGTGCTGACAGACAGTCATTCCAAGTCACTCCCTCCTGCTTCCTGCTATCTCATTAAAAGGTGTTTAAATTACAGCTGCACCTATGAGTGGTCCTTGTGATTGGACTTGTGTAATTTGGTAGTTACTTGTTCAACTACTGTTAATTTTTTGTGCATTTGTTTCTGTTGAGTAAATACATTAACAATATAAGCGGCAATCATTTTTTTGATCCATAGATTCAATTGTGAGAAGGAAAATCAGAATTGAATGCGTGAATATCATAATCTAAAGTAATTGTTTCATGTACTTTTCTTTATCAAAACACCTGCAAATTTTTATTTTATTTTTTATTTCTGCATTACAGGAAGCATTGAAATTGATAAAAATTCCAATAGACCAGTCAGATCCCTAAGAACCCCAGAGGCTGGTGTTGGTTGAGAAAAGACTAATTGTTGTATCCCATTAACTCTTGTAACTTCTTAAAACTTTTCTACTTTAATACCAGCAACCGGCTCATGCCTGCTTACACGACACAGAGCTACATATAAAAGTTTACATTAGAATTTTAAATGTTTATTTTTTTCTATGTTTACAAAGGCCATGATTTTCCATACAAAATGAAAAAAGTATGTCAGTCTAAAATCATAAAATGATCAAGCAAGACAGAAAGAACAGTTTGGAGCACTGGTGTAATATTAATACCAAAGTACAGATTCAAAAACCAGCCTTTTATTTTTCATCCATTTCCTTTTTCTGAACGTTTTCAGGTTAAAGAGCTGCTTTTTCTCTTGCATCTTAGTGCGTTTTGATAACTTTTCTAACAGCTCGCTCTTAGAAAAGTTTTCAGTTTTAATTCTCCAGAAGTGGAGGTCTTCTGCCTCCTATTTGCTAAAGACCAACTCGATGCTGTGCAGCTATGTGATTGTGTTGACTTGGCAGATGGAAGCTTTGCTCCAGTGGACATGAATTTGAGGTGTATAGCGCACCTGAGCAGCTTTGTAATCCTGCGTTGTTATTCTTCCAGCTTTCAGCCTGACCTGGGCTGTTTTAGTCAAACAAAGTTCACCAGAGGGAGGGCTGGCCACTTTTGTTGCAAGGCGTAGATAAAGGAAACGCTACCAAGTATAATGGATCTACCGGACTGAGGGGTTTTTACGTATGTTGGTAAATTGTGGGTGTCTTTTCTGGAGTAGATTAATGAACAAGGTCCAAAGAACACAATAAATTTCAAATTTAAAAAAAAAACAGACTGTCTGAGGTTTATTTTAGTTATTGTTCAGTGAGAGTATAAATTTGAAAATGTGACTAACTCTAGTTGATATGTTCAGTTTAGTGATTTTAATCAGTTCTATATGTGTTTCTAGCACAAATATCTTAGGACACTTGAAGTACTACAAAGCTAACTTACAAATAACTTTTTTTTTACTAAGTATAGAAGCTTGTTTTAAGTCAGTAACTCCTTAAAATTATTGAAAAGGTATGAGTTCCTTTTGCAGATTATTTCACTTATACTAAGGCATTTTTCCCACGTTGGAAGTGAAATAATCAGCTAGTGGAGCTATTAGTTTTTCATCACAATTAAGGAATTGTTGACTTAAAACAAGATCCTAAATCTACCTGAAAAGTTACTTGTATTTCAAGGATACTGGGACATGTGCACCATAAACTAGACCAAAACTACTTGGTGAGATTCTGTGTTTTTGCTGTGCAGTGGGAAACCATCAGGAAAGAGCGGAAAGACATCATTTGGCAGACGAGCTCCTCTGTTGAGCCACTGCTGTCACAGAAAATTCAACGCAGAATTAAGAATTTATTGGGTTTCCTTAGGTTTTTTTTTTTTATTTCTTTATTCAGTTTTGTAAAATTCTGCTCCTTGAATATATTTTCAAAAACTTTGTGACTTGCTTCCAACGCTCAGTGAGGGAGTTTGTCTATACCTTTTGTCTCTGACCCCTTTGCTGACACCTTGCATTCATGTTAGCTTCCTAAATTCATGTTGGCTTTGAACAAACACTCGGGTGTTGTGGCCCAGCTTCCGTCCATTCTCTGATAAATCAAATCCTGCCTCCATTGGCGCAGATGTGCTCTGAATGGAGCAGTCAGAGAACCGTCGGCCTCAGAAGCGCCTGCTGGGGTGCCGGCCGTAGATCTCGTAAATCACCTCCATAATGGATCTTTTAGGAAGTCAATAAATGGACAGGGGGACTTTCTGCACAATGGGGCTTGTGCTTCACTTATCACCTAACGTGTGTCTTCTCTGGCCTCTAGGGTCAGAGGTCAGATTGGCTTTGGGTTGGGATATAATCTGGTGGGCTGCACGGCTCTGCACATGCAGCTCTGATCACTCCCTACGTCACTACCAGTGACTACCACTAGAGGCAGCAAGTTTGAAACAATGAAAATAATGACCCTGGAATTACTTTGAAATTAACAATATGCAATGTTTCATTTAAAATGGATGTAAGTAATTTATAATTTACCTTAAGCTGAAACACTGTTTGCTTTTAAAAGACAGCTGAGGGTATGTGTATGATTCTGTTGGCACCTTTGGTAAAGAAGGACTAAAACAAATTCATCTTCTTTTGAACAGTATAACAACCGCCCCACACACTTTGAAAAGAATCCAACTTTTAATATGAGTACATTCACATAGTGAGTAGAAAAATGTAATTTTGAGACTAAGGATCTGTAATACTTTGTGTCGATATTACCGCCAAAAGATCCTGAGCATCTCGTAGGTATGTGGCAACATGGACTCCGCCAAAAAACTGGGAGCTCCGTTTGCACGATGATTGAAAACACATGGTCACATCAACACAGACTCACCGGACGGCAAAATCATTCTCCTTCCAGAGCCACCTCAGCCTTCAGGTCCAATTGCTTTGGGAAGCTTGATGACCTGGAAAGATGAGAAGACCCAGTACTCGGTACAATTTAAAGAAACTGTTTAAAAAGGAAATGTCAAAGATCCACTTCTCTGCATGCGCCACGGTGCAGGGTAAGGCAAAAAGGAGATTCAATGTTGGCAAGATAGTGCCATAAAAAGTCTCCCCATCTGTAACAAACATATCTTCAAGTACCAAAATGTTGGGCCGTGCTCCAGTCCACGTTTGGTGTCGAGTCAGTTTGGTTTACCCGGTTTGTTTTCAAGCCATCCGCGGTTTACGGCAAAAGGCTCATCAGCAGAGATTTACGCTTTGCTGAAGCGAGTACATCAAACCCTTGATAGGCCTGTCACAACAGATGACTCAGAGGAGTGTCAAGTGATCTTTCAGGTCACATTATCATCCGTCCTTCCCTCCTTTGTACGTCAGTGGCAAATATTTGGGCCCTTTTTTTTATCTGCAGGACCAGGGAATTAAACACATAAGGTTTTCAGTAGCTGTTTGGACTTTTTCCTTTGGTGTGCATAGATATTTGTAAAAACAATCTAATACTGTTGACAAGGTCTAAATATGTGTAGGGCTATGAAAACTACTACTTTATTGTGTCTGCCTGTTGAATATTCTCCAGAGGAGCTGTGCTGATTGCATTTAGCAGATGCAGATGTGCAGTTCATTACATGTTCTCCAGCAGGCACAATTTCCAAAGTTTACAGCTGGAATGCAGCGAATTGGAGCTGCTCCCATTTATACCAAATCACTGACAACTACTCAAAGTGTTTATCATGTGGATTGTGGCAAACGCCTGTTTTTTGGGTATATTACGGCACGTTTACATTTTAATTCTTACAGTGTTGTGCATTCATACATCACTATGCATGACTGAATTTTATGGTAATATGCTCAAACACTTGAGCATATTACCATAAGTTTTCATATTAAACTGAATCAATTCTGACATTAAACCGTTTAAAAGCTAAACTTAAAATTAAACTGTTGATACCAAGTTATACCATAAGTATGGTATAACTTGTTTTGCTTGTTTACTTATTTTTCCATGTTCATATTTTTGCCTTTTTTTGCATCACATCTTGTATGATTTATTAAACGACTGTAATGCTTTTGGCCACGAAACGGTTTAATGCTGCCATTTAAGGCAGTGGACTAAACTCACTGCCACTTTGAAAAACACAACGATTTGTTTGTAATCTGAATAGATTTCTCAAAAGTTCTTTATTGCCTCCTTTGAGGCGAGAGGGTGTTTATCTATATTGTGGTTTTCATGTCAGATTTGTTTGGTTTTTTTTCATGCTCACAAAATTATAAATTAAAAAATTTTGAAAATTATTAAAACTGGTGTTTCATTAGCAAGCCGAAGCTATGCAGTAGTATGTAGCTGACCCAACTTAACCCCTGCAGAAATTGTTCGTTTGAATGTAACGCAACAGACCAGGAATGACTCGAGCTGCTAGATTACCGCAAAATGCTTCCAATATGAAACTGTGTGTGAAACATGTATCGGCAGGTATTAGAAGGACACAATTGCTGTAAAACCAAGAGAAGTTTCAGGCAATGTCAAAGCAACGTTGGGTTTAAATGCTTTCCAAGAGCTCCTTCTGGGGTTGGTTGTCACATCTCTGCACATCCAGTAAATTTTAAAAAAAGTCATGGAATATCATTCTCAGTTGTTTTTGCCACTTTTAACAAATGTTATTAAATGACAGAAAATGCTTTCATCCAACTTAGTTTTCCACTTATTCTGCATAGAATAATTTGCCTCTGCAAAACTCGCGATTGTTTTTATGAAATGCTTTTCATCTCTAAACTAACACACATTTTTAAAAAAATGAACAAATCAGCTTTTTTATTTTTTTATATTTTCACTGAGGCTTCATTGAAAGCTGTGCAAACAAACGGGCCTGCTGTGTGAGGCCTCCCTGCCGGCAGGGCCTCCTGCAGTGCTTGGCTTCTCACTCAGAACACACACCAGCACTTGCCATTTTCTACATGCGCTTGTGACAAATCAAACCACTTGCACGTTGCAGAATCCTTTCAAAATGCTAATATTTTAGAACTCACACACAACCAACCATAACATGTTGCCATGTTTGCCTGTAAGCAGAAGCCAGGAGTGATTTGCATAGCAGGGTTGGGCCCAAATCAAAAATGTGTCGAGGTCCCCACATAATCTTGGTCCGGCTCTGCTGACAACTAACATGCATGCAAAAGCGCCACTGTCATAATTAATTCATTGTTCTTTTTAACTTTCTTGCAAAAATGAGAAAGACAGCAACTGTGGGCCCGAATGTTGAGCTTTCATTAAATAAAGATACAGTTATTGAACGTTTTTTTTTTTGTTGTTGTTTTGTTTGTTTGTTTGTTAGTTTTTTTAAACTAGAAACACTTCATACAAGAATAAATGACAACTCACGCCCTCGGCTGAGATTGGCCCTCTTCGCTCCCGTTTGTTTCTGGCAGCTTCTTCACCGACATATTTGTCCCCGTGTCGAACCGCTTCCTATGAAACAACGCGAATGGGTTCAGCTGCTGCTGCGAAACCCGCAATTAGCCCGAATTTAGCATTTTCAGCCACTCGACTGAAAGCCCACGAGCTCAACCCAACAGCGCAGCGCGAGCGACAAAAAAGTACTCCGTCACGTCGGATCTCGCGCCCGTCTGTCAGGGGGATCTGCGGCTGCTCGCTTCCGGCTGTCTGCGCTCATCGCCCGGCTCGACGTGTCCGGAGGCGCCACTGCACGACCGGAAGGTTAACAAAAAAATAAAATAATAATAATAATAATAATAATAATAATAATAATAATAATAATAATAATAATAATAATGTAAATTAAAACGATAGCTAAAACATAAATAAATAAATAATATATATATATATTTTGTACGGGGGAAAAAGCGCAAAAACGTAACAGTTAACTTTTTTAAAGTCCTGCATTTCTTGGTCTATAGGTAATCACGTTATGAGAACATGAACTCAAAAAATTGTAATGTCATTTAATCAAGCCCATATTTTTTTATGGGCCATTGCACAAAAACTACCAAACTAAAAAAGAAAAAACAAACAAACAAAAAAAAAACCGATACAACCAATTAGCCACGATTTGAAAGAGTAGAAACGTTATTTAACCTCTGACACCTTTACAAGTCATTTAACAGTCAGAGGTCAGGCGCCCCAGGCATCATTTTCCCATCCTCTCAGCTCTATGGGAGCCAAAAGGAAAAGAAGGGGAAAAATATAAATATATATCATGATGAATCATTAGGTAACGCTTTCCTTTGAATCTCTGACAGCCACAAATCCACAAAGACGATTTTTTTTCTCCCAAAGAGATTAACCTTGACAACAAAGCATTCCTCATAGGACTTCAGATATGAGATGGCTTGGAAATGGCTGCACAGACAAGCGAGAGGGGTCACATTCTCAAAACATCACCGAGTGTCACATTATAAATTGAGTGATGATGTCCGTCTGGGGGGGAGCAAAAAGTGGGGGAGGCATGGCTGGAAATCAAAAATAAAGACGCGAGCTCAAATGTCCAACAGGTAAGCTGAATCCATTCTCAAAGCAATTAAGTCTGTCCCCTCCTCTCCCCCCTTTTGAAGTTTTAAATAGTTTTACTCCCAAAAGAAAATCTAAATACTTTATTCAAAATAATGATAATTGCAAGAAGTAAACCCAGAGTCATTTTAGCGGTTTAGTTTGGCTAAAAGGTGAGTGTGTGTGTGTGTGTGTGTGTGTGTGTGTGTGTGTGTGTGTGTGTGTGTGTGTGTGTGTGTGTGTGTGTGTGTGTGTGTGTGTTTTGTGTGTTTAAAACCAGGTGCACATTTCACCATTTGAATCGCTCCGATGTTTAGACAGCTTTCAAATCTTGCCTGCCAATAACTGCAAAAGCAGCAGACACCTCAGCCCACTCCAGCAGCGCAAATCCGGTCGGACGATGCTATTATCAGAGTTTGTTCTCTTTTTTTTTTTTTTTTTCTTTAAAACGTTCCCTGCTTTTTTGTGCCGGGAGCCTTTCGGATGGAAGACTCGCACGGAGACCTTTTCGTTTGAATGAATTACAAGAATTTAATGTTTATTTTACAGATACAGAAGAGTTCTTCCTGCTTTGTTTTTATTTACTCAGAATTGCTGCAAGTCAGTGCCATGGTACAAGCTCGGAGCGGCTCGAGATGTTTATGAATTTCAAACACTTTTTTTTTTCTTTTCCTTTTAAGCAAAAAAAAAAAAAAAAAAAAATCAAAAAAATTAATTTTGATGTGTTTTTGACGTCCTCTCCGATGAGCTCAACATGCAAACATCTCGTCTACTAACCTAGACAGATCGTGGGTGCTATATAATGTATGGCTTTTTTTTGTCGAAAGCAATAAAAACAAAGCAAATCGAAAAGTGCATCAAAAAGAGAAAAAAAAAATCAATCCCAGTCTGTGATCAAAAGTCTTGTCCGTCTCGAGGAACAGGGTCCTCCTTTTCCTCCTCACTGCCTGATGGCTTAACGTCTTGCTCTGCTCGAGCAGGAGCTCTTTCCATTCAGGTTCAAAGGTCAAAGCTGACCCATCTGAGGGCTTCGAACAGGTGTCCATGCTTAGATGTATTTCCTTTAAATAAATATGACAGGATTTATCCAGCAGAGGGGAGTCTCAGCCTCTGATTAAACCCCACGTGTTGCAGAAACTATCGCCTGAATGAACCGTGTTGCTGTTCCTGTCCGCCTAGTTTTCCCACAGTGCTGTGCGGCATTATCCTTGACGGACAGCAGTCATTATCTGGGCCCGTAGTCGTAGTTAGAGGGGCCGCTGGTTGCCGAGTACATGTTAGTTGTGGCGGGATTCATGTGGTGATGGTACGTGTGTCCCCTGATGCTCGGTATCGGGTAAGGCGAAGGCCTGGTCTTGGCTCCCAGGTAGTGTTCATAAGCGGTGGGGTACTTGTAGGGGTGATGGTGCAGGGTGTCCGGGGGCAGTGGGTGGGGGTCGGGCCGGAGGTCGTGGGGAGGGCTCGGTCGGCCGCTCGTCAGCGGCACGGCGTGGAGGCCTCCTGGGACGGGCAGAGCCGGGCTGAGGACGCGGGACATCAGCTGGTGGGCCGGGTCGGCGTGAATTGGGGTACCGCTGGGGTCTCCTTCATATTCCCGTCTGGCATCTTCTGTGAGGGTTCAGAAAAATGAAGACGTTAGAATAAACCAGACTGAAATACAATACAATAAGCCGGCCGGCCAAATTTTGCTGGACGATAAATTGTGCCAGAATTTATTGCGATAAACAAGAATATTGTTATTTTGAAATCACTTTCAAGTAATATAATGGTAATGATGTAAAATATCAATACACTTCCATTTCTAAGAAATGTTTAATGTTGGAACTAAAAGGAATTTTACATATTCAAAATAAATAAACAAAGCGACAAAAAAAACAACAACAGGTAAAATTGCTGAAATTTTAATGAACAAAATTGTCCTTCAAAAAAGAGGCTAGTTGAAACCAGACTGAAGACTTTTGTCACCCAGTCTTTGGTAGAACGAGAGAAAAGAGAAAAATTAGCATGCAAAAGGACATTATTGAGCTTGTTTTAATTTAGCATGCAATTAATTTATTGCAAAATCCTTAACAGTAAGTTACTTTAGAGATATTTTAAAAGCCTTTTCTTATTTCTACAAAATTAGCAGTATAGTGAAAACCCTTTCCATGTCTCGATGAAAGTATGGGCCAAAAAATAATTGCAAATTGGATAAAAAAAAAAAGTAGAGCGAATAATACTAATGATACAAATAAAAACACAGATTCTACTTGGATTTTTTTGTTGTTTGTTTATCTTTGGAATAAATTCCAAAAATAACCATATACACAGAATTAAAAACAAAAATAATTGTGGCAGCTACAGTAAAACTCCCGGATTTTATAAATATTTGAAGTTCATTCTCAAGTAATTAGAATAAACGTCACTCATTACTTCAGATTATTTAAAAAAAAATTGTAACTTTCCTTCCAGTTTTTGCAGCGCTCCGAATCTGTGGTCGGTCGTGCGGCATAATCTTTATTATGTTGCCAGCGCGTGACGTTGGCTGACTGATTTCTAATGTTTAATTTAAAACCAACAACAGGCTGATACAGCAAACGCACTGCTGCACTTCAGTCAAGGGAAAGACGCAAAAAAAAAAAAAAAAAAATGCCCCACAGCTGACAGAAATACAGCACCACAAACACAGAGGAGCTCAGCCAGCCTCCGCTGGATATTCGATCACTGGCAAGAAGTTTGAAGTAAAACAAAGAGCGAGCTGCAGACCTTTTTCTGTGCCGTTCTGCTGAGGGGGAGATGACATTGGGTTTCTTGTTCTGGCGAAGGCACTCATTATTGGCAGGGAGCCTGGCCTGTGATTCCTGGGCCTGCAGCGGGAGATTGGAGTCGGTTTCAAAGTTACTTAAGGATTGTCAAGGGCACAGTTTCTTTCGATGTTAAGGGGATGAAAACTCATTTTAGTATTCTGGAATGGTGTGTGTGAGGATCGTTTTACAGTGGAGGGGTAGAAAGTGAATGTGATGTAGAAGGACAAGCATAAAGGAAGCCAAACTAGGGAAATAATCCAAAACGCTACTGATTTTGATTAATGTGTTCTAAAAGTACAAATGAAACACGACTTAATAATAAATATTTTTAAAAAATCCCACATTTCATTCATCTGACACGCTGGGAGTGGTGCAAATTCAGTAACAGGCAAACACAGTTGATTGGCTTTCAAACAATATGCTGTGATTTCTGCAATTCGTGTGTTTCTGGAAAAAACATGCAGCCCCTGTAGACGTAACCAAGACCAGGAATATCTACAGATATATTTTATTACATTTTTATGACTTGTGAAAATATGACAATGACTGTGTGATGTTTGCATGTAATAAAGCTCACCAGTCCTCTGGATCACAGTCCCTGAAGCCCTTTGCAAACGGATTACTAGCGATCTTCAGTTGTGTGATCTGCAAAGCGACAAAAAACACAAAAATGGTCTCAGAGCTTAACACTCCATCTTCTCCATTGAGAAAGTGACTTGAAAAACGACTAAAACACCATCATATTTATTAATAACGCTCCATGTGTATTATTGAGTTGTCACTTCAATAAAAGTTCCATAAATCGAAACTTTTCCAGCTCTTTTGCTTTTTTTTGTTACAAACAAAACAAGTTTGCTGCTCATTTCTGAAAATCCATAAACTTTTAACTGAAATTAAGTAGTTCCTATTTTTTTATTATTATTATCATCAGTGAACTCTGACTGAATGTTGGTTTAAAAAAATGATTATTTGTTTCTCAGAAAACTAATAAACACACTGACATATGTCTCTGAACATCCGGAGAGGACTGATGACGTAAAAGATGGCACTAGTTGTTCTGAATCAAACGCTCCAAAAACCGGTTTAGATTCTTTATTCTTTTTTTTTTTTTAAGGGCAAAAACGTAAAATCTGGAGCTATTTGTTTTAACTTTGCCAGCTCGGTAAATGCGCATGTAATGCGTAAAACGCCATGTCGGGCGCCGCCTGCACCGCAGGCTTTACGCAGGGCGGTGGACGTCTCTTACCCGGTGGTTCTGGTACGCCGTGACGGCCGTGAAGCGAGTCTCTTCGAAAACAAACGTTTTATAATTTTCCTCGGCGTATTTCTCGCTGTCCTTGCGGGGATCCACGTAAACCACGTGGAACCTGGGCTGGTAGCGGTGCATGGAGTTCAGGATTATCTGGAAAACAACAGGAGGAGTTTAAAGTTCCGAATG